TCAGGTGCTTACCGGACAAGGAATACAGGTTCCTCTCTTGAGACAAGAGTTCTCATCCTAATCTTCTACGAATGTCAGTTTTCGTCCTCATCTTCTTCCCATATCCTCTCCATTTGCTAATCCTTTGCTATTGGGTTGCTAGATCTAAAACCCTTTTATTTTTTTTGTTGCTATAAACCCTTGTTCATTGTATAGATCTACTAAAGCAAAAGTGTTTTGTTACAGATCTAACATGAATTTAATTTTTTCATGATTTATTTGTCTTAACAACGTAAACTTGCAGATCTGCCAACTTTCACCAACCAAACGCTAGAAGTAGATTTTGTAGGATAGTGGGTCTCAACAAACAAACATAGTTACTAAAAATGAGAAAATAAAATTTTCCTTTCTCATCCCACTATTTCTTGGCAATCAAATGGACCATAAGAGAAAAGTATAAATTTGAAAGAAATAGTCTAAAACAAAGAAATGGAACCAATAGAGAGAGCCCCCTTGTTCAACTAAGCTTGGAACTGGTGATTCAACAATAGCTCATTGGTAAATATGTAGGCCTACCCAAGTACATTCAGCATGGTATTCAGCCCCAAGAGCGACAGCCCCCATGTTCAACTAAGCTTGAGCTTAACAAGGTTTTGTCCCATTCTCAAGGAGAGAAGTGTTCGTTTGGAAGGGCTTTTTTATGGTGTGACTTTTGGCTAGCTTTAGGAGTGCAAGCCAGGCAGGTTGGGCTAGGTTTATGGTCAACCTAGGCTCGACACTATAATTTGGGCTTAAGGCCTGAGCCCGACCTTCCCAACTCGAGCCCAGCCCACACTATAATTTGATGCACTCGGGTTGGTAAATGAACCCACTTTATACGCTAAAAGGGTTGGGTTTATGGTCAACCCAGGCTCGACACTAAAATTTGGGCTTAAAGCTCGAGCTCGACCTTCCCAACCCAAGCCCATCCCACACTGGTTGGGCTTGGGTTGGTAAATGAACCCACTTTATATATAGTTGGGTTGGGTTTATGGTCAACTCAGACTCGACACCAAAATTTGTGCTTAAGGCCCGAGCCTGACCTTTCCAACCCGAGCCCAGCCCACACTGTAATTTGATGTACTCAGGTTGGGCTCGGGTTGGTAAATGAACCCACTTTATACGCTAAAATTTGGGCTTAAGGCCCGAGTCCGACCTTCCCAACCCAAGCCCAACCCACACTGCAATTTGTTGCACTTAGGTTGGGCTCGGGTTGGTAAATGAACCCACTTTATATATAGTTGGGCTGAGTTTATGGTCAACCCAGGCTCGACAATAAAATTTGGGCTTAAGGCCCGAGCCCAACCTTCCCAACCCGAGCTCAGCCCACACTGTAATTTGATGCACTCAGGTTGGGCTCGGGTTGGTAAATGAACCCACTCTATATATAGTTGGGCTGGGCTCGGGCTGGATTTGAGCTACCTAAGGACTAGGCCCGGGTCCGGCCCAAAAAAATTAAAAAACCCAAATATTGGAGCCAAACCTAATCCGAAGACCAAAATCCAAACCCTGCCCATGTAAATTACGACCCGCCTAAGTTGCACCCCTAGCTAGCCTTCTTCAAAGTAGTTGAATCAAAATTAGGCCCTCCCAAACAGAGAAGAATTGTGAAGGGACAAAACGAGTGTATGCATGGGAAATAGTTAAAAAGAATGTAGAGAGAATAGTAAATACAGTAAATTGTGATGCGAATCTATATCCAATTTCCCATGAACAAGCATGCACCCTCACTGTGAATACCACTCAATTATCAATTATAAAACTCTTGTATATCTGAAATGGAAGCAACGAAAGGACACTACTATACAGAAACCCAATTGGGCACCAACGACTCCAGCTTTTCTTAAGGGTTTAGGTGGTCTGAGCCTAAAAGAGAGAGGAAAAAAAAAAGATGCTAGTGAACCCAGTTGAAGCCATAGATAGCTTAATAGTTTCCATTCTATGGCCCAAACAACGATACTGGAATTGGAAGGCTAAATGTGGATAGCGGTTGAGAAATAAGTTTGAACTACCGAGGCAGCCCATCGGAATGTGAAATGAGCAGGAAGCTATTGTCTTTATACGAGAGAGATAAAGAGAATCAGAGAACAACCAAAATAATTCATGGTTTCATATTAATAAAGACACACCTTAGGTGTACGGCATCAAAGGGCTCTGTGCCTGCTCTGCTCCTGGTCTGTGGTGTCAATTTAATTTTCTTCCTGCAATCTACTTTTGTTTTGTACCTATTATATAACCTAACATTGCTTATTTAATTTTGGCTGCAATTATTATTAGGCGATAACTTTCTCTGAAGGTGAAAGCTCTACTATGTACTTATCAAAATGTATAAATTTCATTATGTTATGTTATTTAAATCTTGATACGCTACAGATTCCCTAGACCATATTCTGTTCCGGTAAAAACAAGAAATGTGACGGTGATTTTGTCTTGTCACAGTGTACTTCATCTCTTAAGTGGGTGCTTTCTTTTTATTAAATAAAAAATTATTTAAGTAGGAGTGCTCACAGTTCAGTTAATCAAATTATGAGGGTTTTATTTTATAAAATCAAACTGGTTCTACCGGTTTTTTTATGTCTTCAAACTGATATCACCGATTAATTGGTTGATTGGTTTCAGTTTTTAACTGGTTTGGTTTTTTTATTTTTATATGTATAATATATATATATATATATATATATAAAATATATGTATATATTTTTATATATAATATATAGATAATAAGTGAGATATATTAAATATATAATATATACTATACATATAAATACATATATTGGTCGGTTCGGTTAATCACATATTTTGGTTTGATTTGCTTGATTTAGTTCAGTTTTTTGGTTTTTTATAAGCACCCTTATATTTAAGGTTCGAACTTTCGATATCATACACCATGCATCTTTTATTTATGGAACATATCGTATTGTATCTTTTATTGATTTATCTATTTGAGATACTTTTAAGAAACACTTTTAATAATTACATAATATAAAAATAGCCCCTGTAAAATTTTGAAAAATATAACTAAAAAACAATAAAAAAAGTGCAAGGTTGAAAGTATTGAAACACCAGTTCCAGTGTATATGGGTTGGGTGTATGGATATTTTGAACCTTACCTAAAACTTTCTTATTTTACTAAAAGTAATTTAATAAATAAAATAATTATGGACATTAAATTTTGCAATCTTCTATAAACGTACCACTAAACATTCTGATGGAAACGTTTCATACAGGGAAGCAGAACATAGTTGTTTTGCCCTTTTTCTGCTTCCTGGGGAATACAACAATTTATAGAGTAATAAGAATTCCCAATGCACGGCTGTGGTTGCTGTAGTTGCCCTCACAGCCCTTGCAACCGTGCATTGGGAACATCTTCACATATTAATTTGTATGTTTCTATTCATATGGAGATATTCTTAACACACGTCTGTAAAAGGATAGGACGGATTTTGTGAGGACATTCACTCTCTAGTAGTAACTAGTAAACCCCTTGTAAGAAGTATTCCAAATATTCAAATAACCGGCTTCACTATTCTCCTGCATTCAGGCCCGGGTTCAAGTCTTTAACATTCAGGCCTTCACCAGTAGGCAGTAGATATGGGATGGGGCTGGTGGGCTGCCTGAATGTTGTGAATAGCTTTAATTGGGCCTCTTTTAGGCCCGAATTGGGTAAGACAACTGGACTACCCACTTACTTGGTGCAGCGTAATTAAAATTAAAATGCTGCAAGAGCTTGATGCCTAACAAAGTTCAGTAACTGGGCTGGGCCCGAAGATCTGACAATGGCCAGCTATACTGATAAGCTTCTAATAGATTACAGTTTTGCTCTGGCACAATTGTAGCAATTTGATAAATGATTGAGACATAGCACATGGAGCAAGCCTTAAATCGATGTTGGACGGATTTAATTATCTCTAGTGCCACTCACATAGTCTTAATCCCCTCTGGCCTCTGCCATGTTATGGGCCTTATGGGCCCATACTGAGAGACAGACGCTCATGCTCTCAATTCTCAAACAGTCATGTTTAGGATCCCATTCATTTCAAGTCCAAAAGCACATGCCCCTAGTCTTTCTGCTTTTTTTTTTCGACTTTTGGGTTATCATGTTTTTAAAAGCAACTTTAACCAAACGTTCAAAACACTTTTAGGTTTTAGCATGGTTTTTGCTTCTTACAGCAAAAGCTTGTTCACACGGAGCCTTAGATCCCACAGAATTGAGTAATAATGGTGACTACATCCTAGGGGCTAGGGGCTACATTACGCCGTTGCAGTATGGGATAGATCATAAATCCAACTTGTGTCAACAGTTTATCCACCAAAAGAAGGAAAAACTCGTGCTAACAGTTAACAGGTGTCAGCTAGGTCATCGCCCTGATTGCTTGGTCCCTGTGGAGCCAACTCAGACATTGAATTTTTATAAAAATTGTGGTTAAGATTTAAGAATTTGAAACGGTATTAATTAGATGAAGCTTCTTCATCACAAGCCCCAGAGATGGCTAGCTAGTAGCTAGCTTACATGTCTCCTAAGCTTTTCTTCTCTTTATTCCTGCCTTTGAGAATTGAGATAGAGACTGCTTGTCAAACCCAAGGCATTCAGAAAAGGGCTGAATCAAGTGAGTATCAAATATGGACTTAGACTTTCTTTCAAATAAGCAATTCCAGTGGATGATAAGATGGTACGTATTATCGTATGAGGAACTCCAAACATTGCTTAATGCTGATTATATTGTTCCCCTTCCCCATTAATTAATTAAGCTTTGTTATTAGTCTTTGTAATTAGAACATATTGATGATTTTGATCATTGATTCATTTCCCATTGAAGCTAGACAAGACGAGAAGAAGAAAACTAAAACTGATCAGACACCACCGAAACTAAATTATACGACGACCAACCAATCTTACTTGGAACTGTAAAGCTCTCTACATTGCTTGTCCCTTCTGAAACTGGAACAAATATTAACCAATAATAAATCTTCCCAACCAAGAAAATATTATTATAAAAAAAAAAACTTGGACTAAACTAAGCCATGACTGATGACCCATCATCACCCACAAACTATACTCCAATGTTCTCGTCATATTGTTGTAGTCATGCATCACCGATCGATCATATAGGAAGGAATAGGAGGAGTAGCTAGGATGAGTAGTAGTACTGTAGTAGCAGGCTAGCAGCATGAATCGTCATGTCGTCGTCCCTGAAGAGAAGCCATGGCAATAGCGGCAAGTTTCTGCAGATTCAACTTCACAACAGTGTCTACGAACATCTTGGTATCGTCGCCGGTGTTGCCCTCCGGTATGTCGACGATATAAGACTCCAACACAATCGTATAGGCCTTCCCTTCCTTGCAAACAAACTGGTTAACCGAAGTGACGGAGCGATAGTTGTTGAGCCTGTGCTCACCTCCCACAACACGGAAGCTCAAGATATGCTTCTCTTCATCCAAAATCTCTAACCTCTCAATGCTGGTGGAAGCCGGAAGCCCAGAAATAACACTGACTTCTCTGATACTCCCAACACCTCCATCGCCCTTCATTTTGCAGCTCTTGATGAAGTGCTTGTACCTCTGAGGACTGTCGAAGCTTCGCACCAGAGGCCAGACCATGCCGAGGGGAGCATCGATCCTTTGTGTTATGAGGGATGTGCACGTATTGGGGGAACTCTGAAACGTGTGATACGTACGAATGACAGACTCAAGGTCCACAAATTCTTCTGGGGTGAGACCTTTTGCGTTGATCATCTGGTTGGCTGCTTCTGTCAACGCGTTTAGCGATAGCGCTAGCTCTAAGCGTCACTACTCCTCAGACACGTGCTCAGGGGTGGGGCTTCAATTCAGTGATTGAAGAAGACGATGAAGCATGAAAAACGGGATCCCATGAGAGGAAGATGGAAGGAAAATCGCTAGTCTTTTCCCTTTTCTCCTTATTTGGTGCTCTGCTCGTGCAGTCGTGCTCGTGTTTGAGACTTGAGAGAGAACGGTGGCTAGCTTCCTGTGTTCAGTCGGGAGGAAAGAGATCCCTTTATATTAATTCGCCTCTGAGACTGTAATTGGATGACTGAGATACCCTTATTATTTGTTTATATTTATATACATAAGTGTCGGGGGGATGTTTGTCTGCTATCTAAAACAGGAAACCAGGAAAAAAGTTTTAGTTGGTTGGAGATTTTGGGCATTAGCTAGCTAGGTTGATTATTACAATGCCCTTTTCCCTTTAGGAATTGACAACTTTATCCGTCGACCACGGTGTTCTTGTCTCAAGATACTAATCATCAATATATAAGGCAATATATTTAGATAGATTTGTGGGATTATCCTAATTATCTTCAAATATAAATTCTTTTGTTAGGCAAATTAGCTAAAGGAGGAGGGTTGGTGTCAGGTAGTCGATACTAAAATTTTTGTCAAATTTTCACATTTAGGTGGTAGTAATAAGAAATGATTTAATTTATCAATGGATATAACATTGAGAAAAATATAATGGTGGTTGGGACAAGACTTAAATAATGATGCTGCTGATGTTGATGATGATAATGATGATAAAATGAGCTAATTAAAGAACATGAATAGTTGGGGGCTCTATCCTTCAAAGGCTCAAACCCCAAATCCCTATGAAAATGTTGAATTTTTAAAGCAGATGGTTAAGGGTCCATTCCATCCTATAATAGTTAAAGTGGTTGAACTGAATGGTTTATTATTGTTTTGTCTGAAAAGCCATTCAGTCCTTAAAAGAGCATGTAATTAATGTACTTAGATAGCTTATTATTCACTAAAATGCAAAGTAAAAATCCACCTTGAGTTGATATATAGAGGAATGCTAAATACTCGATTTTAATTGAAATAAGGACAACCCAATGTTTTAAACCCCAGCCCTAGCTGAGGCTGAATGGTTTTTCCCTCTATGTGCATGGATCACTGGTTCAGCCATTTGGGTAAATAGATCAACCCATGATATTATATATCATGATAATTAACAAATTAAAAAATAACAAAATAATGCAAAATTTAGTAACCCGGTAAATGGGGTGTTGATAAATTCAGTGGTCTTTTGTAATATGGTAGGTTAGAAATTAACTTTGGACCTAAAAATTGTAATCACATCACTGTTCACCAGTTCAATTGGTGGTCAGCAATGAACACGTTGATGTAAGCAACTTAGGGGTTGTTTGTACCATTGGCTTATCAATAAGTAGAAGTATAATCACATCAGTGCCATATCAGCTTCTTTAGTTTAATTGTCAATCTTGTCTTTTGATCAGAGATAGTCTTAAGTCAAAAACAGTCATAAAAACACATTACATGAAATTCCATGTTATGGGTGATTTAATAAACATCAAAATTGATGTTTTTCTGCTTTACAAAACTCACAACACTTGAGAGTGCTGATGTTTGTAATATTTTTAAGTATAGATAAACCATGCTTATTCAACTTAAAAGTTAAAACCATTTAACAAAGTAATAACCATGTTTAATTAGTAAGGAGAGGTATGAGACGATGTAGTTGGGTAAGGGACAAAAGAGTAAAAGTATAATGAGGACAAGTAATCCTTAGAGGGAGGGAGGGAGAGGGGGTGTTTTGTCACTATTTGTGTGGAAAAGGAAAGCTGTTGGATTCGTGAATCATGTGAGAAGCCTAACAAACTCGCCGCGTGATCTAATCTTCCTTTTGCAGGATTCCCCTTCCATGGCCCTACTCTCCCTCTCCATTAACAACATTATCTCTCCTCTAGCTATTTTCTCTTTATTGTTCATTCATTTATTTGTTCCTCTCTCTCTCTCTCTTTCTGAGCCAAAACATAAATAGAAAAGAAATGAGCCTTGATGTAGCTGGAGGGAAAACATCCCATAAAAGAGGACATCCCATGATTAAATTTAGTCAGATATGATCTTCAAGGCCAAAAATTACTGAAAAATGTTCATTATAACCATTTCTTCTTTACTTTATATATTTCTTTTCCAAATTGGTAGAGTTGTATTACTCCTTCAGGTCATATATAGCCCCTAATAATCCAATAATACCCCATCGTTTTCACACACAAGACCTTTAACACAGGAGCTATTTAATGAATGGCCACTCCTCCAAGCAGTTGGGTCAATTTGCTTATGCCTTGAATATGGGGTTGTAAAATGAATGGAAATTTTGATTAAAAAATTAAGAAAAATCATTATGTGCCATAATGTTAACACTTACAAACTAAGTAAATAAAGGTATTTAAAATGACATAAATAAACACATTATTATATAAAACATGTTAGATATACCTGCTTAATCCGGCCACCCCTTCCCCAAGCAAACCAACCCACAAAAAAGAAAAAAGAAAGAGAGGAAGAGTCTCAATAATGAAGGTGCAGAAAAAAAAATGATCTATGCAGCTTGTAGAGATATTATAAATAAATAGTATATATTATACAAATAAAATCTCCTTTGTAGAGTAAGCAACAATGGTTGGAGCTGCCACGAAAAGAAATTACAGTCTTAGAACATTGATTAAACTTAATTAAATATAATTAAATTCACCATTGTAAGATTGTTATCTTTGCACATTCTCACCGGAAGACTCATTCAACCTTTATTGCCTACTTTTGAAACAGAAAGAAAGAATTGGGTGATTTTGTTTGTGAAGCATTCTAGATTTTGTCTTTTAAGAAAAAGAATAATTTATTAACAACTAAAAGGAGGGGCATGAAACCTAACCTGGAAACAAAACTATGAGCCAAAGCTCGATACAAAAGAAAACAAACTAAAAAACACAAGAACAAGAGCTGTCTGTAGCTGTGAACCTTAACTCTCAATTTTAGTTTTGGCCATGTTGTTAGTGTAATATGTTACCCAGTATTTGAGATAAGAACAACTCCTATACTGTTGCAACCGGTTACACTCATCTCTTGTATTTATCTCTTATCTTGTATTTATCCTTACTCATGTATTTATCTATTACTTTGTTCTTATTTATACACACAATATGTATAAATACCGTACAGAACATTAAATGAAATCATTAAGAAGAGAATTCTTTTATGGTATCAGAGCTCAAGAATGCCTGAATACCCTCCACCAAAACCACGTCAACCTCCAACACTTCCATTCAAACCCATATCACCCAAACTACTTTGCCCATACCTGAACCTGCAAGTCTTTGAACCAATGTGACTCAACTTATCTCTGTTAATCTTGATCATCACAACTATCTTCTGTGGCGCCTTCAGATGCTCCTTGTACTCGATGGACATCAACTAATGTGCTATGTTGATGGATCTCTCAAGTGTCCTACTTGGTTCATCACTTCCTCCACCGGCACTACAGGAGATTAGATTGAGAACCCAACTTACAAAGCATGGCGTATCCAAGACCAACTTCTACTGAGTTGGATCCTATCCTCTCTCACAGAACATGTACTCTCTCAGGTAGTAGCATGCACTACCTCTCATCAGGTATGGTCTTTACTAGAAACTACTTATGCACCAAAATCAAAGGCTCGTATCATGCAACTACGTTTTGAGTTAAATGCTCTAAAGAAAGGATGCTTGTCCATGAGTGATTATCTATTCAAAATAAAGAATATTGGTGATGCACTTTTAGCCACAGGAGAACCCTTGTCTGACTCTGATCTTGTCCATCAGACTATAGAAGGTCTATCATCTGAGTATGAGAGTTTTACTACTGCCATACTCACTCAACTAGATGGTATTTCTTATGACATTCTACACAGCGTACTCTTACAACATGATCTTAAACTTGAGCGAACCAAGAAGATTCAAGAACTTGAAGTATCAGCCAACATGGCATACAAATACAAAGGAAATCAGCCCAACACTCCCAACACTCTATTTGGAAGGTTTGAAAAGGAGCAGAATCAGAAATCCAACTCAAATCCAAATCTCAGATACAAAGGTAGTCCTTGCCAAATCTGCAAACTACCTAATCACTCTACTCTTACATGTTGTAGCAAATTTGATGCATCTATCAAATATACTCCCAAACGAGCACTTGTCTACAACACTGAAGCCTCTGAACCTCCATCAAATCAACACTCATTTGCAGTTCTCTACTGGTATCCTGATTCTGGAGCGACACACCATGTCACCAATGATTTGCATAATCTTAAACTTCACTTAGAGTACATGGGCCCAGATCAACTAAAAATTGGCAATGGCACAAGTTTGAAAATCAATCATATTGGTACCTCATCTATTCTAAGTTCTAATAAGAATCTAGTTCTCAAAGATACTCTTCATGTTCCGGATATCACTAAGAATCTTTTATCTGTTGCACGGTTCACCACTGATAATGATGTTTTCTTTGAATTTCATCCCTCCAATTGCTATGTGAAGGATCGGAAGTCAAAGACAACCCTACTAAAAGGAACCACTGATCGTGGACTTTACAAACTTCATCTCCCAAAAGCCAATATCAGTCTTGTCGCACATCTCAGTGAAAGAGCATATTTGAATACTTGGCATCAATGTTTAGGGCATCCGGCATTCAGAATAGTGAAGCAAGTCGTATCTGAGAATAAGCTTCCTATAACTTCCAATAAAGATTTATCATTCTATTCAGCATGTCAATTAGGAAAGAATCATCGTTTACCTTTTCTCCCTAGCAATTTCAAGGTAGTAGAACCATTGGAACTTGTGTACTCTGATTTATGGGGACCAGCCCTTGTGATGTCTAGACATGGTTTCAATTACTATATTAGTTTTGTTGATTCCTTTAGTAAATTCAGTTGGATTTTTCCTCTTGCTCACAAGAATGATACTGTTTCTACATTTATTATATTTAAGAATCAAGTTGAAAATATGCTGAATAGAAAAATCAAAATCCTACAAACTGATGGGGGTACTGAGTACAAGACACTCAAGCCTTTCTTTGAACGACATGGTATTATTCACAGAACATCTTGTCTGCACACGCCTCAACAAAATGGTTCAACAGAGCGTAAACATCGACATATAGTTGAATTTGGACTCACACTCATGGCCAGAGCATCTATGCCTATGTCTTTATGGTTTGATGCACTCCACACTGCTGTCTTTCTCATCAACTGACTACCCACCAAGGTGTTGAATCATAAAACACCATGGGAATATCTTTTTCACAAAAAGCCTGACTATATGACACTTCGTGTGTTCGGCTGTAAGTGCTTTCCTTATATAAGGCTCTACAATGTTCACAAACTTAACTATCGCAGCCTCTCATATGTATTCATCGGGTTCTGTGACAAATCCAAGGGATTTCGATGCCTTCATATTCCTTCTGGTAAGGTTTACATCTCCTGCCATGTGGTATTCAATGAGCTCAATTTCCCTTATTGTTCACCTCCACAATCTCTGCCATCTCAGCCCTCTACTCCACCATCAATGCCCATTGGACCACCTCCCATCGTTTTAGCTCCTCCCCCACCACCATTATCATTGCCTTCATCAACTCCTGTACTCTCTCAGCTGTTATCCACACCAGCGCCAAACTCATCATCTCCATAACCTCTGCCCCAGCCCACATCTTCACCACAACAACGAACTCATCCCTTATCTAATATCCTTCATGATGCCCGCTCCCTCCCTTCCACAACTGTACAACCTAACCAGCCATCTTCCAATCCACCTGAACCCACTCATCCTACTGATATTTCTCTTCCCGAAAACTCCACCTTACCTTATCGCACCCATACCATGATCACTAGATCACGGGATGGGACACTTAAGCCTCGCTTATTCCTTGCCTCTTCTTACTCTCTACCCCCTACCTCAACTAAACCCAAAACCATAACCTAGGTCCTATGTCATGCAAGAAGAAATGACTGCTCTCATTACTAATAATACTTGGACCCTCTATTTGCCACCTACTGATGCAAACATCATTGGCTGTAAATGGGTATTTAGTATCAAACATAATCCTGATGGCAATGTGGAGCGCTACAAGGCTCGCCTTGTAGCCAAGGGATATACACAACGCGAAGGACCTGATTACAATGAGACCTTCAACCCTATTATCAAACCTATAACTATTTGGGTTGTTCTTCATCTTGCTCTAGCACGTGGTTGGTCCTTACAACAACTTGATGTTACTACAACTTTCTTGAATGGTGATCTTCAAGAAACTGTATACATGGCTCAGCTGCCTGGCTTCATAGATCCAACTCATCCCCATCATGTTTGCAAGTTTCAAAAAGCACTATATGGTCACAAACAGGCTCCTCGTGCATGGTATCATCGACTCAGCTCATTTCTTCATTGTGTATGTGGATGATACCATATGTGTACTGCTGATTTCTTCGTCTTGGCTTTCATATGTGTACTGCTGATACCTCATTATTTGTTCGTCACTCTACCACTGATACTACCATTGTTCTTGTCTATGTGGATGACATTATTGTCACTGGTTCCAACAATTCACTAATTACCTCACTTATCTCCGATATGAGCGTGGAATTCTCTATCAAGGACTTGTGTCCCCTTCAATACTTCCCTGGGATTGAGGTACTTCAAGCTGATCATCACCTTCACCTCTCTCAATGGAAATATATTGTTGACCTTCTTCATAAAACTGGTATGGGTTCATCCAAACCAGCCTCTTCTCCAATGGTTGTTGGTCATTCCCTCTCTAAGACATCTGGTGTGCCTCTCACGGATGCTACTAAATTCTGTCAAATTATTGGTACTCTTCAGTACATTACTATCACATGCCCAGAAATATCATTCACGGTGAACAAATTGTGTCAATTTCTGCATCAACCAACTAGTGAACACATGGCTACTGCAAAGCGCTTATTGCGCTATCTCAAAGGCACCTTGGACTATGGCCTTCGCTCTGTGGCATTTTCCTCTTTCCAGTTACATGCGTTCTCTGATGTTGACTGGGTAGGGTGTCCTGATGACAGACACTCCCATGGCGGTTTTTGCATTTTTCTTGGCCCAAATCTCATCTCTTGGATGTCCAAGAAACACTACTGTTTCTCGTTCCAGCACGGAATCGGAATACCGTAGCCTCGCTATTGCTGCATCTAAAGTCTTGTGGCTGCGCACTCTCTTCTCTGAATTACACATTGAGATGCCAGCCTCACCTATCATGTGGTGTGATAACATTGGTGCTACGTACCTTACAGTGAATCCTGTCTTCCATGCCAGAACGAAGCACATTGAAATTGATTTCCATTTTGTTTGTGAACAGGTTGCTCGGAAACAACTTCAAGTTAGTACATTGCCTTTGCTGATCAACTGGCTGATATTCTAACCAAGGCTCTTCCCTCCCCTCGGTTCCACCTATTGCGGTCCAAGTTGAACGTTGGTTCTCCACCATCAACTTGAGGGGGGCTGTTAGTGTAAGCGGTTACCTAGTATTTGAGATAAGAACAAACTCCTATACTGTTGCAACCGATTACACTCATCTCTTGTATTTATCTCTTATCTTGTATTTATCCTTACCCCTGTACTTACCTATTACTCTGTTCTTATCTGTACACATACAACATGTATAAATACCGCATAGAACATTGAATGAAATCATCAAGAGAGAACTCTTCTCTTAAACTCTTTTACATGTCCATGAGTGACAAGTGAATTGGCCTTACATTTGTAATACAATAAACAATCATAATCATTCATCTGGTTTGTACATCTACCACTTAAGCAAATTTGTAATATATCAATATCATCACCACAATAAAATCATTCTTGGACTTGCTATTAACTTAATTTTGTCATGATGAATGGTCGAAAGTAATCTTCCATCCACTTGGAACAAAGTAGTTCGTTTGCTAGCTAGTGAGACTGAAATCGATAATCACCTCCTGCCTCCACCAACTGCGGCTCATGTTTTTGGAGCTTTCTTTCTATTCTTCTTTTACTAGTAGTTGTTGAGGCTCTGCATAGAATTCCTCCTGCAACTGGACCAATATTCAGCTACGAGCTTAGAGAAAAAGGAGGACTTAGTTTGCATAAGTTTTGAAGGTTCATCATATTCCACAAGCTTCCCTGCAAAACCACCACAAATTAAAACCAGAGATTTATAAGGTGACTAAAGATCAGACACAGCACATGGACCTGGATGGGCTTCCATGTCCTATCACTCTGTCATAAAAAATGGCATGGGCCATGGAGAGAGAGAGAGAGAGAGAGAGAGAGAGAATACCATAAGAGAGCACCATGACCATGTCACTATCTGTTACTGTGGGAACTCTGTGGGCTATAGTTATTACAGTGCAGCCTGAGAATTGCTGCCTGATGACTCTCTGTAGTATAGCATCAGTTGCAGAGTCGATGGATGCAGTGGCTTCGTCTAGAACAAGGATTCTATTTCTCTTAAGAAGTACACGCCCGAGGCAGAAAAGCTGGCGCTGGCCGACGCTCCAATTTTCTCCTTCATCACTCACTGGAGGACAAATCAAAATGAACAAAATAACAATAACAATAATAATAATAATAATAATAATAATAATAATAATATCATGATTTTAATAAACTAGACAAGAGTGGAGGCCTCCCTCAGCCAATGAAAATTCAACTCACCAAACGAATCTAAAAGGTTTGGAAGAGCGGAGATGGTTGTCTTTAATTGGCACTTCTCTAAAGCCTGCAATGGAATAACCACAAGGGTTACAAAAGTTAGGATTCAACTACAAGAACTTTGTTAACACACTAAGATATTTTTATAGTTTTAATCTTCAATTTGACAGGATACATGGAAATCAGAATCAGTTGGCTCACCTCCCATATCTCATTGTCAGTATAGAGGCCTAGAGGATCCAAGTTGGAACGAACACTACCCCTAAAAAGAGTTGGTTCCTGAGGAATGATGCTGAGTTTCATCCTCAGATCCTTCAGACCAATGGAGCAAATGTCCAGTCCATCTATTAAGATTCCCCCGCTTGCTGGTTCAACTAAACGGAACAAAGCACTTATCATTGTACTTTTGCCACTTCCTGTTCTTCCAACAACTCCCACTCTGGTACCTTCTTTGAAAGTACAAGTGATTCCCTTGAGAACAAGTGGAGCATTTGGACGATATCTTATCTGAAACCAATAGAAACTAAAGAACTGTGAGAATTTTCTCTGGTACCCAGGTCTTGCAGACCTCAGTTGAAATGGTTTACACTTTAAGAGTTCAAAACTATGTTGAAAGCTGAATCAGACTATTATTACCTTAAGGTCCATAAAATCTATCCTTCCGTAGGGGGGCCATGAAGGTGGTGTTCTTTTATCATCCACAATTGCTGGAGGTTCTGATGGTATATGCATGAATTGTTTAATTCTTTCAACAGAAATAATGTAGTTGGCTAAGTTGCAGTACCATCTAGTCATAAACACTTGAGTTCCGGTCAGTGTGAGAGCATAAGAAAGAGAAAGTCCCACAAACCCTGCAAAGCATGTCATACCTTTTCTCTAAGAAACTGAACCTTAGGAGAAAGATGATTACAGAGTCTCCCAAGATGAAAAATACCTGGAGGAATGGTGCCCTGAGGGATAAAAACAAGGAGAAGAGCACCGGTGATTAGGGTCAGATTCTGGACTGCTTCCACTCTCATGATTAACCACTCCAAAGCAGCATTGGAATGAAAGAATAGACTTGCGTCTGTATCAATGAGATTCAAGTAGTTGTGGAAGAACCTCTTCGTCATGTCAAAAGCTCTTATTGTGACTACTCCAAGTGATGTTTCAGCTGCATAATTCATAACAGGTGCCTTTGCTGTTCCATTAATTCTTATTAGCTCTCTTGCAGAGGCTAGATAGTATCTCTTCAAAAAAAACAAAAACAAGGATCCCTGATTAAAGGCAAATAAAATACAGACAAGAAAAGTAGAGGTGAAAAAGGAAAAGGAGATCCACCTGAATATACTGTGTAGATAGCAGGGCGATAATTGCTACAAATAGAACTGGCCATGTGACAAAAGCCATGATACCTACAATTGATAGAATCTCAGTTGCAGGTGCTATTACAAAAACAATGGAGGAAGGTATGTCGAAATCCACAACACTCATATCTGAGGATGCCTATAAAAATAAACATTTCCATGAGTAGCTATGTGGGTGATCATGAATCCTAAAAGAAATTTCAATGTACTGAAAAAACGGGTCCATATTACCAAGATATGTCGAGATCCACAACACTCAAATGGCCACAAATAGTTAGGAATAGCAGAACAAGGGTCATTTGATCAACTCTAACTAAATGGGATAAGGATTAATTGAGTAAGAATATGAGATTCATCTGTAACTAATTACCATTTTAATTCTGAAAGAATGTAACCAGACACCTATGCTCAAATACCTAGCATACATCAATACCTATTTAGATGTTTGTCCAGGTAAGACTATCTAAATATCATAATCAAATGGTTCATTTATTAAAACAAGGAAGCCTTACCCGGGTTAAAATCCTTCCAACTGGTGTTGAATCAAAGAAGAGCATTGGAGCTTTGAAAATTGAATTGGTAAAACCTGAAAAGAAGGCTTTAGAAGCCTTTAATCCTAGAAGGGATGCCAAAAGGGCCCTTCCAAATACAAATACTGCACTGGTTGTTGATATCCCAGCGTACACTCCAATTAAGATGCCATTGTTGATTTGAGGAATATCAGGAGCTATTGCTAGCCAATAGGAAGCGACCATCTGAAGAGCAACAAAAGCAGTCTGTGCAAATATGCATAAACCAAGAAGAAGAAAAACCTTTGATACAATGAGATAATCCAATAATTGCTTCCATCCCACGTCTCCAATCCCCCTCTCTTCATCTTCTGTTAGCTGGACCCTGGAGAGACCCTTGATTGCAATCTCCCCTTTGCTGCTGTCTTTTGTGGTATAAGATGCAATGGAACCATTTAGTTGGTCTAAATCCATCTTTTCAGATTCACCCAATTGTCTGTTATTTTCAGGATCCAATGCTGTCATTGCAATTTTGTGAGCATTCACGAGCTTTTCAAATGCTGTTCCAGCTATCAGGAGTTCCTTGTAGTTTCCTGACTGAATGATTTGTCCACCTTCCATGACCTGGAAAAGAAAGAACCAAGTGATGTTGAGAGCACACAAATAGACATGAGGTGAGAAAACATACGACATTTTAAATATGCTCCATTACCACTATCCAATCAGCTTCTGGAAGAAATTCAACTTGATGAGTAACTAGAATGACAGTTTTCTTTTCCAGAGCAGCCATGACACAGTCCTGCAATTACCTCATTCAAATTCAGTGACCAAAAAACTAATACTAATGCGAACTTACACATATATGATATTTCCAATTTTATAGACAACATCAGTTTCGTACGTTAAAAAGGGTGGCAACTGTATGCGCATCTACAGCACTAAATGGATCATCAAGGAGATAGATATCTGCATCATTGTAAACTGCTCTAGCAAGTTGAATCCTCTGTTTCTGTCCCCCACTCAGGTTGAGACCTCTCTGACCAATTTCTGTCAGGTCACCATGATCAAAACTATCAATGTCCTTGTCCAGTGCACATGCTTTTATGGCTTTCTCATATCTGGTCTTGTCCATTTGCTTTCCATAGAGAATATTATCACGAATTGTTCCACTTTGAATCCAAGATGTTTGAGAAACGTAGGCAATAGACCCACATACATCAACCTAGATGCAAACAACAAGAAATTAGGGTAATTAGAACAAAAGCATTGATATTATGTTTGGACCTGTACAAGCTATCTAGAAATGGATTACATTTTTGCGACTCACCGATCCTAAAATTTTGGGTATCTCTCCAAGTATGGAATACAAGAGAGATGATTTACCAGCACCAACTGGACCACACACAGCAATCTTCTGACCCTTTTTCACTTCTAATTCTATACCACTTAGTGTTGGAAAAGCTGCATCTGGGTCCCAACTGAAGGAACCAGACTGTATTTTAACACTGTTGGCTGAATTTTGTGCTTGGCTCCTCCTTACATCCTCATCCTTGAGCTCATTGTCCAACAAAAAGGCATTAAGACGGTCCAATGAGACCTTGACCTGAATCATCACAGAAAGAGCTTCAGGTATCATTCTCACAGGCTCTGACATGCTCCTCAATGTTGCAAGGACAGTGAAAATGGTGCTGGGATTCAAAGGGGCACTTCTCCAAACGGCGCATCCCAGAAAGACTACTGAAGAGATGAAGGTAGGAGACATCCAGTATAATACGGTGCCGTAGGACTTGTTCATTTGAGTCTTGCTTAACCATTTGAATTCAATATCTCGGAGGGACTCGATCAATCTCTTGAATTTTTCTTCCCATGACTGTAACTTGATAATTTTCATATTGTTTAGGACCTCAGAAGTAGACCTAAGTCGTTCATCTTGGGCAACCATGAAAAGATGCTGTAAATTCTGAAGGATTTTTGCAAAAGGAATATTTATAACCCCACAGATGAAGATGGGGACCAAACCAGGAAGAGCCCCTATACCCACAATTCCAAATAGTATACCTATAGAAAGAAACAGCTGCAGAGAATTACTCCAGGTTGCGTGGAACCACCAGGGGAATTCACCCATGCGATAAGCATCAATTGCAATGTAATTCACAATCTCCCCTGTTGAGTGTCTCTTCCTAGCCAGACTAGAGAGCTTGAGCTGCTTTTGGTACACAGCAACCATCAGACCTGATCTCATCCTCATTCCATACCTTCTTGCATCAAAGAAGTAATGTCTCTGAGACAAGGACTCTATGAGCTTGACCAAAACCAAGCATCCTACTAGACAGATACCCTTGGATAGATTTTCTGCCTCATGGGTTGAATACCGAATGAATGCAAAGAGTAGCAGTGGAGCAACTACGACAGAAATAGTCCTAAGAAGTGCATAAATTCCTACTAGTATCATTTCTTTGAAATAAACTTTAATTAAGGTCCGGATGACCAGGTTATGACTATTTGTCGAGTTCTCTCTCCTGAGAGAATTCCATGCTTGTGAAAATGACTGGTAAGCTAAGAGGGATTCATCTTCAGTAACTAAAGCAGGAATATCATCAATAACCAATGGTTTTGAGTAACCCAAACACAGTAAAGGTTGAACCCAAGAGAATGTCACTCGACTAATGAAACTAGCCTGGCCTAATTCTGTTCGATGTTTATCATTGTCTTCAACCAATAAAGGTTCAGATAAACTCGGATATTGGATGTTTGGAGAAACTACCTCTCTGAAGAGTTTGAAAGCACAAAGAAGCAGCAGTACTGTGGGAGGCCATGACACAAGGTCTAGGATTTGAATGTTTTGTGTTTTCACTAAAACTTGCACATTTAGTGCAGAGGCCAATAGTGGGAAGGAGATCCACCATACTAAAACTAGAATTCTCGTCCATTTGGTCCGTGGAACAATCAGTGAAACTGTCAAAGCTATCCAAACCAGCGCCCTAACAAAGCAAACCGCCCAATTCAAACACCTAGATCCATCATTTCCGGACAGTACACCCCATAAACCAGCGCTAACATATGCAACGCCAGTAACAGCACAACAGATTGAAACAGCTAAAAAAACCCAGTCCCTCCTTGTTTCTCCACTAATATGATGTTTTCTAACAAACCCTCCAAGCAAAAGCAGAGAGAAAATCAATAAAAATAGCAAATTCAAGCCATCTATCAATATCCTTTGAATGCCTGAAGACCGCAAATCAAGTTCTCCTTCACAGAACCAAGAGTCCTCTGTATATCCATACAAAACAAGGAAGAAGATATTGAGAAAAGTCAGTTTAGTATGCAAATCAAAAACAATAAAAAGCAGGGCATTTCTGAACAAGTATAATAATAAAAATAATGATCTCGGAATTTTCTATAATATGATCAAAACCATGATACCCCCCTAGAAAATCTAAATACGGAATATGAAAACAGAACAGATATCATGGAGTTAATAATAGAGAACTCTAGCAAGAGTTGCGAACCCAAGGGGGAAAAAAGAAGGAAAAGTGCAACGTGATACAAACTACCCATAAAAGTGCAGAAAGGACGCAGTAATTAACTTGTTTAAAGAAAGGAAGAAATGGGTACCCCGAAAGCTCTGAAAGGGGAGTGAAACCATCCCTGATTGACTGCTCTGTTTTATTTTGCTTTGGAGCAGGAGAAGCAAATAAGAACAACTGAACAAGCAGAAGCTCTGAACTCCAGCGGTAGCAAAATGGCTAATGGCGTCACCATGAAATGGAATATCTAAAGTTTATTGCTTAAATTGGACTCCGACAACGGCAGGTGACATTAAAAGAAAAAAAAAAGAATCCGGTCGCCCATAAATAACTCTATCTCTTTGTGCTCTTCTTCTTCGAACATAACACGGCCGATCTGTTTATATTGTTTGTCTTCGTGCATGTTCATGCATTTTGTTTTATATTACTACTACTACTACTAACTTGGTTTCTCTAAAATAACTACAATGAAAAAGATGCTCGCGTCAGCCTAAGCTGTGGTCCAATGAAACCAGCCAAATGGATAAACATGTGACAGGCCGCCATGGTTGGTCTGAAAGATTTCGGAGTTCTCTTTCGTTTGAACTTGTGTCTGATGTGATCAGTGTCGGCGACGAACGAGATAATCCCACATTAAAAGGGTAGTTTAGGAAATTTTGCCAAGAACAAGAGGGTAGTCCAGGAAAATGCGTATTCTAAGCCGATGCTTAGTAGCATGGCCACAGATTGGCCGGCCGGTGGCTCTCACAGTCACCACTCACCACATGCATCCATTCTGCACCGTTTCCACTCCTGGCTCTTACTACTAATTTTACCCGATTATTAATTTATTATATAATATCACATTAATAAATTTAAGGCGGGTATGGGTATTATAAGTGGAGCTGTTTATAAATTTGAATTATTGTAGATTTATATTCCAAATCGATGTTGGAGTGCAGTCCAAAAATCTCTAAATTAAAAGCTTAGTTATGAACAAAATAAATAAATAAACAAGTGGTTGAAGTTCAGTTTTGCTGTGAAATAAAAACAATATCAAATGGTGTAACCGATTACTGTATTGCGTGTCAGCGACTCAGCGTTGAATACTTCTCTCCATTCCCCGCCCCTCTTCGTGGTCTGACAAAGCGGTGTCTCTTGTTGTTTTGGAGTTCAGTTCTGCTATCAATTATTGACGCTCCCAACATGTTCCAACCAGCCATTACAAGCCCACATTGGAAATATGTTTCCATGAATGAGAAGGGGATGATGTTTTCACGGCGCCCCACAGGGTGTGCCCCATGATGCTATTGGAAACATTTCTCAGTGAAAAGTATGGGAGATGTTTAGAATAAGATTTTTAAAATCGATTCGGATAATGAATCAGTCAGGGATCTGGTTTTTGGGTCGAATAATTGGCCTGTTTTAATAAAAAATAAAAATAGTCAAAACCGTTGAATGGTTCGAACAGTTTAACCGCCTAACCGCCAAAGAAGATATAAAATCTACATAGAACACCATACACAATCTTAAGAACTGATTGACTGAGGACAATGTAGAGGATATTCCAGAGATCTCTTGCTGCGCTGATAATAATTCACTCCAAATAGAAGTTGCAGATCTCCTAATCCCTTCAAGAGAAACTGTCACACCTATGAAAAATTAGGCTTTATTAGTATTGCTGACAGTTGTGTTGGTGGTGGTAAGGGTGTATTAGACATTTTACCTCCTCGATTAGACATAATGGTTACAGGGGAGGTCTTAGTAGAGGAGAAGTCTCAGTATTTAGGAGAAATATCAAAGGGAGGTTAAGTCTTTTACCCTAAAATTTTTTACCTACATAAATACATGTTTATATAATATGTTAAAATGTAAATATGAAGTTAAATCAGCCCAATTAAGTACGTGGGGTGACTTAAGGCGAAAGCCAAAGCAGCCCAACCTCATACCAAAGCTAAGGTTGGGCCAGACCAGAGTCGGGATAAACCCATTTAAGTTGCATTAATACAAGTATACAACAATCCTACAACTAATCTAAACAATCCATGGAATTGGGAGGTATTCTGACAGGCCACTTTGTTTTTTTCTCCCCGAGACTTCCCTAGTCCCTACACAACAGGTTTCCCTAATCCCTACCATTTCTTTCAAATCAAACAAAGCTTAAAGTCAAAAATTTATAATCTATTACTATGAGAATCAAACTACTTGGCTCCCCAGTTGATTCCATCCCAAAAAGATTGCTGAGCCGACTGAAGAACGGCGAGATGTTTTTTGTCATCCATCTTATGCATTATTCCATTGCATATAGCCATAAGCCGAGTTAATAAATAAATAAAATTGGAAATCTCACATTATACAAATAGCTATTATACACTACTATACACTGTGTAGGTACTAAACACCTCAATATACGGTTAACAAACACTTGGATGCAAACAAATGCTCTGTTTTGAGAATTACTTGTACAATAGATTTGCCTCCTAATATTCTGCATTTGTGCAAAATAAAATACTATATGGTAGCATGAAATAATAGTAACAATAGGCAACATTCAACTATAAACCACCAAACAACAAATAGCAAACACACCGCATTCATTTTTAACATGAAAAACCTCTATGATATAAAAAAGAAAAACCATAGAATATTAATCCAAAAATCTCCATTATAATTATAACAACAATAAATAGGAATACAAATTTCTTCTCCGACAACAGCTAGAGGATATCAAACATTAAAAGAAATCTTCTTGGTTTTACAATCCAAATTCTTGACCAAAATAGTGGTTTACAATCGAAAACATGAACTACTCTTGTTAACAACACTGAACCTTGCTGTGGATGCAATCCTCACAAAATAGTGGTTTACACCCCTAAGAGAAACCTTCCAAGAAAACCCTAGATTCTCAAATCCCAGAAGTTTTGAACGAGAAATATTAGAGAGAATGAGAGCCTCTTTCTTGGTTTCCCCACTTTTCTTTTTCTATTTTTGTCTTTCTTTTTGCCTTTATTTGTTTGGGCTCCACCTCATAAAGAGGGAACCCCAACACACTGCATTACTGATTAAAGAATGATAAAAGATATGATACAAATCTTTTTTTCTCTTCTACCCTTCCCCTACCACCCGGGGGAGAGGATGTAGAAGAGATAAGCAAGTGTTATTAACGTGCACAAAACTGCTCATTCTGTTCAGTAGTCTCCTATATCTTGGTGGATGGCATCTCTCCAGGCACCGAAGCTAAATGCCTAATTATTCTTAAAGGAGTGTGAATGTGTGATGACCTTTCTTCCTTTATGCAATTCACATCTCTTCCTTCCGTGTTTTGGAACTTCCTTACAAACTGACCCATCTTCTAAGCCAACACCACAAACATGCAATTTCTTTTCCAGTACTGTCTCCACGTGGACCAATTAGACATCATCCCTTTATGCTGTGCACACCTTCTTCCCTCAACCGCTTCATTTCTACAAACAGATCCATCGCCCAAAGCCATCTCACAAACAGCAGTGCACTTCTCACTAACACATGTTCCTGCAACAGACTGAGGCTGTGACTTTTCAAAATTGGAAGTTCCTGAAATGAGCTCATCATGCTTCAAATCTCTACAGGAGTTTATGCTCCTTCCAATCACTGGAACTTCCATGCAAACAGACTCATTTTCTAGCCCTGTACCACGCACATGTGATTTCTTTTCTAGTGACAACTTACAAGTAATCCTATTAATCCTTTTCCCTTTATGTTGTCCACACCTTTTCCTTCCTTTACTAGGTTGATTTCTACAAACAGATCCATCACTCAAAACCACCCCACAAATGGTAGTATGGTCCTCAATAGTAGTACATCTTTCCACCACCATTTGAGGATGTGATCTGTATGTTTTTGAATGCTGGGAGAGGTGTTTCTCTGGCTCTTCATCACAAGAATTGATTTTTCTTTCATGCAATGGATCTTCCTGGGTACACCCATCTTGTAAGCCCATACCAAACACTTTTGGATCTGCATCCGTCATTAGTTTTAATATCGATCCATTGATCTTCTTCCCTCTGTGTGACCCACACCTTTTTCTTCCTTCAATAGGTTTGTTTCTACAAACAGACCCATCACCTAAAGCCACCCCACAAATGGGAGTGTGGCCATCATTCAAGCTACTTTTCCCTGTAACCAGTTGAGGCTGGGATCTGCTAACTTTTAAAATCCGCAAGAGATTGTTCCACCCCTTATAATTACAAGTATTTAATTCAGTCCCATTGAGGGTTGAGGTGCGCCCTTTGATTGTGATCCCAACTTGCTTCTGAATGAATGGGTTGTCCCACCTCCATTTTTGGAGCTTCCTGGCAATATATGGAAATCGAATGGTGCTTGAAGTAATTTTATTGAGTTTTATCAGGATATCATCAGGGCGGCGTGCACAGTTTCCACCTTTGTTCCATGCATAATCAAAGATACCAAGTAGCTGGGCTTCTGTCTTCTCAGCTTCTTCCTTACTTTCCATCTGTATAACATTTAGGGAAATAATGATAGAGAATAAGAATTAGAGATTCCTTTAACAGGCATAAGCAATAAATTTGCAAAAGACCGATGAATAAATACTAACATAGTAACAGCCTTAAGTTGTATTTATGTTTGTAGGGTTATATTTATAAGGGTAAAAGACTTGAATATACCCTGAGTATTCTTAAATTGACTTAAATTCAGAAATACCTTGAGACCCTCTCTCTTCTCATTCCTCCCCCAACATTCCTTTTTAATTTCAGATGGAATGCTAGGATGTCTGTGACATTGCCAAGGGATGATGTGGAGGAGGACATCTTCTATACTATAGGACTACTATGCTCTGCGATCCCATCTTCATGCCTAAAAGATCTTCTAAACCAAAATATGTGCAGTATCAAGAGATCTTGTTCATGCTGATAAAATGAGAGTTGATAGCAACTCAACCAGTTCCAAAGGGGGCATGAGATTGGATGAGAAGAGTGAAAATCAGGTTGCTATTGGCGAGTAGAGGTCGAAAAGAAATGGGTGCAAAACAATATATACCATACTATAGTGACGAGATTGACTGGAGAAACATTTTGGAGAGCAATGGGACAGATTTGTGGCACTGTAATCCAAATTTGACCCTTTGAATATTCTGTGTCCTGGTCAAATGGTTTTCAAGAGGAAGGCCAAAGAAGCTTAATGGCATCAGGTGTATTTGTTTCAAATTGTTATATAGGATTTTAAAATTTTTAAATAAGTTGTTTCATTGATGGAGGTATGTGTAAGTCCAATGGGGTTAGCCCACAAGGTATATTTAAGTCTATTTGAAAAACTCAGGTTACGCTTAAGTCAATTTATGAAAAATTAGGGTATGTTATTTATCAAAAAAAAAAAAAATCAGGGTATGTTTCATCTTTCACCCTATTTATAAGATCTATGAATAAAAGCTAACTAGCATCTTCATGCTAACATCCAAATTTACATATAGACATATAGAAAATACTCCCTAGCATAGTTGTCAAGGCGCCGCCTAGGCGCCCGCCTAGGTGTCGCCTAGATGACTAGGCACCCTTGGCTGGGTGCCTTGCCTAAACGCCTTGACTTTTAGCAACTAGGCACCCTTCTAGGCGACTGAGCGCCCGCCTAGGCGACAAAAATGACAAGGCGGGCGCCTTTTATAATATCATTTATATTGTTGTATCTTATTAATGTATGTGTTAATACATTTTATTATATGCTATATATATCAATTATAATTTATTTTAATGTTTTACTTTTGAAATTTAAAAGATCAAAGGGTTTTGAGAAGAGAAAAAGAAAGAAAGAAAGAAAAGAAAGAGGAAAGAAAGAATAGAATAATAAAGTTATTTTTTCTATTTTCTCTCTCCAATTAAATAAAACAGAAACTCCATCCTTGTTTTTTTTTTCTATTTTACTTTCCATCTTGAATATTTATCATATAAAGATGATAACCATCTTTAGCTGCTAATTAATATGAATTTTTCTCTATTAAATACTTATTATAGTAGTATTATTTTTTAAAATAATGAAATTAATATATGTAAAAGATTTTTATCTTTTAGATGTGATGATTTGCCACATTTTTAGAGGAAATTTGATGTTCTTAATAAAGAGAATTGCTATTTTTTCAATTAACATACATGCTGAATGGTATATAAAACTAGGAAACTAGCCAAAAGTCAGATTTTTATATTATAAAATTTTTATCGCCTAGGCGACTAGGTGCCCCAGTGTTGCCCAGAATCACCTAGACGCCTTGAAAACTATACTCCCTAGTAATAATAATGATGATAATGATTGGAAGTGAATATCTCACTTAAATTCACATTTACGAATGGCAATAAATGAACCTTTGGTTTTTTTTTACTTCCTTTTTTAACAAAGTGGCTATTCTCAGACTTCAACCTGTACTCTTATACTTGTCAGCCCAATATTTTATCATTGCACCAGTTACATCACAGTGAGAGAACACTAAAGCAACCATAGAACTATATTGCTAAAAAATATACAATGACAAATCTCCTTATGGGAGAAAAACATAAGAAAGAACAACTTATCCATCCATAATCATATCAAATCTACGTTTATGCATATCTATCACCATTGGATTCTCACCAAGAAAGTAGCCTAGTATTTAACATCCGCATGACTCGTACAATTTTATCCGGGTCAATATTGCACAATAGAGTACTTTTTTTTATCAATAACGCTTTCATTAATTCATCAGTAGAAAATTTACAAGTGGAAGACAAACACACTTATCTTCCAAGAGTCACAAAGAACTTCAAGAAAGGAGAGAAGAAAATACAAAGATACAAGGACACTAACATTACAACTTAGCCCAAAACAAGGAATCCCTTTCTGCCCCTTGTTTTGCTAAACCGTCAGCTAGGGAATTAGGTTATCTCTTAATCCAACAT